TAATTAATTGGTCACAGATTAATTCAATATCACAAATCAAAAATTTTATAAGTCACATTTTATTTTATTGGTCATAGATAAAAAAATTATCAAATTTGTTGGTTACAAATTATCTAATTTTAAGGTCACATATAAAAAATTATAGGTCACAATTTATCAATCAGTCACGTATTTTCAAATTTATTGGTCATAAATTATCGAATTTTAAGGTCACAGTTAAACAATTGGTCATGGGTAACCAAATAGTGGATCACATATGACCACCACATACACTGCCGCGCGCCATGACATCACCACTACACCACCACCACCAACAAAATCGTTGCCACCAGATCCAATCGACTGCTAACAAAAATCATGACAATCAACTATATCAGATCTCCAGCCACCAACAACCACCACCCCTTGCCGCCACCAGATCCAACGCCAACCTCAATACCACAACATCACCACCAACAAAATCGTCACCACCAAATCCAACAAAAAAAATCCTACACCCGCCACCACCTCCACCCCATTGTCACCACCATCCCCGTCACAAACAACAACAAAGACATCTCCACACCACAACCACCACCTCCAACCCTATCGTTGTTGCCAGCTAAGCCACCACTCCACCAACAAAATCATCAAGTCCGACATCACACAAACACCATCCCACCTCCACACAAAGCACCATCCAACGATCAAAAAAAGAATTATATGTATGTAAGCAGAGCCACGGGCAGCGACTTTCATAGCGTCGCCATCTCTAAGACATACCACCGTCGCTATCGTGCAAACCATGTCATAGAAAATCGTCGGAGAAACACCACAAATCAAAGAAGATTTCACATCGCCGCCTCTGCACTTCCGTTCGCAGAGGCTCTCATCTCTTCGTTAAGCAGCACGGTGCTGCTTAAGTGGTGGCGATGACGCGGTTCCCACGGTGGGTGCTCTGACGACAGTGATGACGATGTCTGACAGAGAGGAAGGCATGAGAAGGAGATGAAGAAGATGGGGAGGGAGAGTGAGAGTGAGAAGAAAGAAATAAAATTGGGGCTTGTAATTGAATTGGGTGAAAACATTTA